TAACTCCGATGCTGTGTTGAGATTGAACGATTGTTTATATAAATGCCTCTTTTACCATCTTCCTGCCTGTAAGCTCTTCTCCTTAAATTCAATGCTTTCAGAGCAAGCTATGCTCCATTTTGAACAGGATTACAATCCCAATGAGAACAACTTACTGCTTTTACAAACAAATTGTTTTAATTATAATTAATTGCACAGTGTGAAGTGGAGGGAGCTCAGATGGTGTAGGTCAAGTAGCTCTTAATCACCTCGTAACTTTTCAAAAGTTCTGGGCTATAGATTTTCCATTTGATGTTGCTGCAGTTTATTTCTATTTAAGTGATACAAAAGTGGGAATTCCTGATCAACCTTAAATGATTTCTCATGGCAGGTAAAGACTGTTCTACAAATGTCAACCATGTATTTCTTTACTCCATTTTTAATTTATTTTGTAATTGATGTATTTGAAATCATTCATAGAAATTACGATGCATGACAAATTAATGCTGTGAGTTTTTGTCTGGCAGTCCATCTCCAAACTGATAAGAGCACTTCATAGAGTGAGACATCAAACAAAGTAGACCAGAAAACTGTTATTTGTTTGATTCGGCCTGAAGAGGCTTTACTGTTTTCTGAGTTTGGTTTAAAGAAAAATCAGTTGAAATTAAGTGAGTCAACATTTGCTTTATCAGTGCAAACACGAAACAGTTCAAAATCTAACAGCATGCAATTTATTCAACAAAACAACTTTGAAAGTATTTCATGTCAATAATAAACACTCAACATTATCCTTTCAAAGTACATGGTTAAAAAAGAGTTGACATGTATGAGCTTCACCGTCATCATCTGTTGCTTACATTCACCTTAGTTCGTTCCACCTGTCAGTAGATGTTGGGGCAGCACTGCTGCCTCACAGCAGAATCCCAGGTTTGATTCCACCCTCGGGTGATTGGCTGTGTGGAGTTTGCACATTCTCCCCGTGTCTGCATGGGTTTCCTCCCAGTCCAAAGACGTGCAGGCTAGGTGGAGTGGCTATGCTAAGTTGGCCATAGTGGTCCGGGATGTGTAGATTAGGTGGGTGATAGGGTCTGGGTGGGATGATCTGAGGGTCAGTGTGGACTCGTTGGGCCAAAGGGCCTGTTTCCATACTGTAGGGATTCTATGATCTATGATGTTGCCAATATTTTCAGGTCCAGGTACCAATGACATAAGTCAACACTAGGTTCACCCTACCTTGTATTCATTCTATGACAAGACAATATTTGTTAAAACTGTAGAACCAAATGCTCCAGAAACTTACGCACATGATTATTTCCTGTGCAGATCAATTTCCCCCTGACCCCCACCCCCACAGAAAGAAATAGAATGGTTAAATACAAAGTAGCAAGTAGGAGTTCGAACTTCCTTTGTGCCACACAAATAAATTTTCAATCACTTTATGCATTCAGGGAACGTGGGTTGCACTGGCATGACCAATGTTTATTGTCCAATCCATCGCGGTCTTTGCAGCAGTGGTGGATCACTGCTTTCTTGAACCACTGCAGTCCATTTAGTTGTAGAGTTTCAATCCATCCACGGAGAAAGAAGGGCAATTCATTTCCATGTTAGGATGGTGCATACCACCAACCATACTAATGAAACTTGCAGGTTTAGTGTTCCCACCTCTCTGCTGCCCTTGATGGATGGCTTCTTTATAGATCATACATCATTATTCTGAATTTTCTTGATAACATGGCCAAGTCTAACCATGAACCAACATCACTGACTAAGCAGACAAATTGCCAAATGTTCTCATGATTATTTGAGACAATGTCAACACCACATCGTTCAGCATAGACAGTCAAGACAAATTCCTTGCTTCGAGAAACAATTATGAAGAGGTGCGAAGCCAATCCAAGTTTTATCATTTACCAGCAAGTAAATCTCTCTCTGCTATGTTGTTGCCTTGCCCTGTGTTCTGAATATTAAAACAGTTTTGTCTGTGCAGCAGCATCGGTAGAATAAATCTAGCCTGCCTGCTCGCAGAAAAAATGACTGAGGTAAAACTCAAATAACACAAGCATGGTCCTTGGTCAGAAGGTACAGAATGGACTCAAATTCTTTCAGGAGATGGTGTCTGCAAAAAGAATAAATGGGTTAAGTCCATCGGGAGGCTGCACAGGTCACAGCTTTCCTTGGTGTTTATGTAAGTATGTAGTTAAATGATTGAACCAGGTGTAAATAGTTAAATCTTTGTGTAGGATAAGATTAACAGGTGAAAAATCTTCAATACAAATTGGAGATGAATTCATTCAGCAATGATCATTCCAGATTATTTGCACCATCTAAGTGCTTAGAAAATCAACTTCCTTATGACAAATACGGCGAGTTACCCCAACTGATGCTTTTCACCAGATAAAGAGTTGCTCAAGACATTATACCATGATTCTATCAGCCTTTTGAAGTGACGTACAAGATCTTACAATTTAATCCTAGCAAGAGCAGAGGAGCTACACGCCAGTGCTTTAGCCAATACTCATCCCTGAAGCAACATAAATGAAATAGACATTGAAATTACTCATTTGTCTCATTGAGATTGGTGAGATCTGGCTGTGTTCACATTGAAGCTGACAGTTCATGTCTCTTCTGCGGACAATGAGAAAAACTTTTTATTTCACTGTCTCCTTCATTTATGCTAAGACCCCAAGATGCTTCATTGTGCCCTTCTAAAACAAAATTTGCACTGAACTCCAGAAGAAGTTATTTGTGCCAAAAGATTAGTTGGAGGTAGGTTTTCAGGCACATCTTTAGAAAGGCAAGGGAGTTCAAAAGAGAGGTGGTTTTACAAAGAAATTCCAAAACTTAAGACAGCTGCCAATGATGTAACAATTAAAACAAAGGGATGGACAAGGCTGAATTAATGAATTAGAAAGCAGACAGTTCTGCTGTCAAACAAGCAGTCTGCCAATGTTGAGAGCGTTGAGGGATGTGGTATAGATGATGGTGTTTGGGACCCTCAACTTACATTATTGGAAAGCTACTGTTTTTGAAATCACGTCAATGTGACACAGCTTGAAAAATACAAAAAAAAAATGCCCAAAGAAAGATAATGGGAAAACATGAGTTAATGATGCATTGATTGAAAGAAAATCCATTGAACGTAATTCTGACTAGAATTTCATAAGAGTGGAAACAGGCGTGGAGACAAACATATACTATGTCAAACATATTTAGTAAGGTTATTCTCATATCTCAAATGATAACAGCCTCTGATAACACACACATCAATAGATAAAAAGGCACAATATTTGATGTCTTAGCAAGTTAAAACTTTATACAGTATTTGCATTCGCTGATAATGTTGCAACGCTTAGTCCTGGTCCTCTTCTATGGGCTTTAAACTATACTTGCCATGATATGCTGGGTGCTGTTACAGTGCAATTCCTGGTTAGACGCCAAGTGGTTATTTCTCCAGAATAGAGAATTTAGAGCATAGAGACATTGTTGCTGGAGGAGCAGAATTGTTGTAGTCTCTCATGAGTGTATTAAACAAAAGATGAACAAGGCACCCAACATACACATTTCCCTCCCTCCGCCAAGGATTCCAATTAACACCCCAATCACAAAGAATGACAGGGCAAACACATTCCTCCAATACGCTATTCACTCAACCCCCCTCCCCCAAGAGAACAAACTTAGGTTGTTGACTTGCTCGCCTTGTTTTCATTCAGACGTAACTATAGTTACCCAAGCCAGTCAGACATGCATGGGAATTCCAAGAGACATGGTTCTCAACCCATAAGGCAATCAACAGACATGTAGAATTGGACCCCATATACAAACCCATACAGAATAGAACCGGAAATGACACTGCTCATCACAATGGACCAGACAGTAAGAATTCCAAGCAGATTAGAACAACATCAATTCATGCCAGACCTCACTGATGATGTTACCTAGCATGGTGACTAAATGTCTGAACGAAAACAAGCCAGCTTGACGAGCAAGTCAGCAACGTCACCCACAACCTGAGCTACAAATCTTTGCGAAAACTTTAAAGAACAAATTAGTTGCATTGTGATTTATTAAACTGTATTTGCTGTTCTCGATGCAGTTCTGTACACCTCAAGACCAATCTCAATTTGTTGCAGTGGATTCTTTCCAGTTCTGGAAAGTCAAACTGAAGCATTAACTTTTTCTTCTAGCCACAGATACACCAGACCTCTTAGCCTTACCTGTATTTATTTTTTAAAAAAGCAGATTTTAATTGGTGTCAATTAGTTATCAGGAATTTGAAGCTTAGTTGATGCTTTTCTCTTCCAGCAGTGGCCTCGGGTTATTGCTTCAGTCGGCAGAAACCAAACACTGAACGAGGAACATTGTTACTTTTAACTTACGCTCTGATATTCCAAAAATTTGCCCTTTTGTACTGATTAAACCAGATCTCTAGAAATATTTATCACCTTTACCACCTTGCCGAGGTAAGTGTAAGGACAGTATGTTTTAAGTTTTCTTAATCTATTATAGAGGACAACAATTTCCATTTCCCCTAATTTTATTGATTTGTAAGGATTGTGGCTCCTCGGGATGAGAAAGCACTCCGTTTCGTCTACTTTTCTACCTCACTCCTCCTTCCTCATTTGGTTTTCCCCATTCCTGAAGACAGCAACTCTGTACAGTATGATTTCGGGAAAACAAAAATCAGTGTGCACCAATTTCACTTAAGGTTGAGAGAGGTGGAAAGATAAGCAGCAGCAAATAAATAGATAGATAGATTCTGGCTGCGCCTATCTGCAATCAAGAATGATGAGTGCTCATTTTTGTTTTCCCCTGAAGCCGGTGAAATGAGGGACGGCTCTTAGTTTGGCATGACAGAGATTAAACCAGGAATCTGTTACCTCTTCAGTTGTACTTAAAGAAGTTTGAGAAAAAGAACCAGTAAGAATGATAATTTATTGTGAATTACAAGCTCTAAGAGGATTTTGTATGAAAAGTTAATACAAATATGTAAACTTAAACTGCCACGAGCTCATTTGATCTCTGTTCAATTACTGTGTTGTGGTACAATTTTTGTTGTTCAGTTGACCATAGTACCAGGAAAGAAAAACAGAACACCACCTAAAGACAACCTGTTTAATATTGGTGTCTACACATCCTCCTTTCTAAAAACACTGATACCGGGGTGGCCAGTGATATTCCATACACAACTTTGAAATGAAATAACTGCATTTTCACACTTGTACGTTTCACAATGAGAGGACAAGATTTACTCTGGATATTGTAACAAAATTTTATTTCACAGCCTGAACCACTCTTACCATAAAAAGAGATATGTTATATTACACATTATGCCTCAATGCTTTAATGTTTGGCATGAAAAGTAAAATCATTATTCAAGATTTTACTGGAGAATTATGACAACTTATGGTCACTACATTCTTAACAAAGTATGCAGACCCTACAATTGTGATAAATTGTTGTAACAGCTGATAGTGAAAATTTAGCTATTTCTAGCAATTATTGTTTCATCATTATTTGCATCAATTTAGGAACTTGACACTGCCCCATAAAACAGCTCCACCTACATATTTGTTTCTCAAAGTGCTGTGAAGAATGCGAAATCAACCTCAAACAGTCTAATAGCTTTGAAATGAAGAAACTGCATCAGCATCTAAGATCATGCTGCTTCAATTCAGTTCGATACCATTCTGCTCAGTTCATCCAAAAAGTGTCTAGTCAACAGTTTGACAGCAGGTTTGAGAGACCGAGTGGCTGGGAGGATCTGACATACATGACGTGGAGGTACCAGTGAAACCGGGATGAACAAAGTCAAAAATCCCACGACACCAGGTTATGGTCCAACAGGTTTATTTGAAATCACAACCTTTTGGAGGACAGCCCCTTCATTAGGTGCAGTGAAAGGAGAGCACACAGACACAGTTTACAGGCAGAGACATGAAAGGCAGAGCCCTTTGTGTGTGTGCTCTCCTTTCACCGCACCTGATAAAGGGGCTACGCTCCAAAAGTTTGTGATTTCAAATAAACCTGTTGGACTATAACCTGGTGTCGTAGAATTTTTGACTCTGACATGCACAGAAGACAGGGTGCTGTCTTGACTTTCAGTAAGGGAATGCTGATATGCAAATACAGTACATTGTGAATGTCAACTATGGTGCTTCAATGGAACAATTGATAGCAGTCATTTTATTTGATGTTAAGGGGTTATGCATGCATGTAGAAATTGTGACTGGTGTTATTTGCTGCAGAATAAGATACTGCAAAGTGATAGAAATATTTCTATGAATCATGCTAAATCCATCTGCATTTACAATATGCCTGGCAAGTACTAAATCACTACAACAGTGCAACCTTCATTAGACTTTCTTCATTTGACACCTTCAGAGTACACAAACTTTATACACAGGCCCTTTCCTGATACGCACAATTCCTTACCTGCTCATCCCAACTTCATGCCCAGGAATAAAATCCATTTTTTTGAATAATTTAAGGGAACTATCCCCAATTAACCTTAAAGACTTTCTGTAGGAAGCATCTCAGTAACACACAAAGTATAAAATTGCACATAATCTAGATCCTTAACTAAGGAGCTTCGAAATAAATTATACTCAATGCAAAGTGAAAAACTTAACGCCCACAACCACAATGAAAATAAATAAATTGCTCAACTATCAGCCTTTGGTATGTGTAGATGTAAAACAGTACATTGGAATGTTCAGTAGGGTACTCTGCCCCATTTCTCTGTGGCACTATGAGGGTAACCACTTGTTTAGTTCTCTCTCAGCTTCAAGAGTTTCTTGGCTGCAATGATCGTGTTCTTCATCAGCATTGCGACGGTCATGGGTCCAACTCCTCCTGGCACTGGTGTTATAAAGCTGGCTTTTTTCTTGACCTCTGAAAATGGTACAAGAAGTATTGCAAGGTAATTTTGTTTTTCTATGTCCCCACAGTAAAGTAAACCCCACTGTTAACATAAAAGGACAGACTGCAAGAATTCCAAATGCACTTAGTTAGGAACTTCATTGGTGCTCGTGCTCCATTGATTTCAATGTTACCTAAATTCTGAGAATTGAGCAATAAAAAGAAATAAAATGGAGCGACCTGGTCTTAAATGCAAAACAACCTACTGGTCTTCAACAATCCATGTTGGGATTCCCACTAAGTTTAACATCCCATGAAACAGCAGCAGACAGACATTCACTTTGTGACGCAGTCTTATTGGAGCATTCTTTCTCAGTCAAAGAAAATTTAAATCACATGCAAAAGAGGCACTCAACAGGTCACAAGCTCATTAACAAGACTTCATTAACTAATCTAATCAAATCAACAATTTAGACTTCCCCAGGCCAGGAGGAAGAAAGGTTATACATACTCCAGATGGTAGACACTCCAGAAAATTCACCCATTCTAAAAACACAGCCCGAGTCTCCTGCAACTCAAAATGTTTTCTTGCAGAAATGGTGAATGTGAATTGAACATCTGGAAATTTCATCTGTTACCCAGCGTTCCGCATGAACCATGTGTGTCCCCAGAGCATCCTGGTGATCCAGGTGATGTGCAATCAAGTGATTGACTCAAACAGTCCATGGATTGATAGTCAAACCTGCTCATTTGTAGTCCCCCTATTCACATGTACTATCATTAACCAGGGACACAGTACATGACAGTTGACACAATACATGATCCCAGACCAGAGTGCCAAAGTTATGTTTCATGTGAGGTAGGAACCAGTGACTTTATCTCCCTTAACAGAGACATAGTATGAGATCAAAGGAAAATCTGTGCAATGTGGGTGCTGCTGGCTGGCCAGTATTTATTTCCTGCACCTAGTTGCCTATGGGAAGGTGGTGGTAAGCTGCCTTTTTCCAATCATTGCAGCCCACCTGCTGTGGTTGACCCACAGTGCCATGAGGGAGGGAATTCCAGGATTTTGGCACAGTGACAGTGAAGGAATAGTGATACTTCCAAGACAGGATGGCGAGTGGCTTGGAGGGGACCTTGAAGGTGGTGGTGTTCCCGTATGTCTGCTGCCCTGGTCCTTCTAGATGGAAGTGCTTGTGGGTTTGGAAGATGCTGTCTGAGGATCTTTGAGTTGCCGTAGTGCATCTTGTAGATGGTTCACGCTGCTGCTACTGAGCGTCGGTGGTGGAGGGAGTGGATGCTTGTGGATGTAGTGCCAATCAAGAGGGCTGCTTTGTTCTGGATAGTGTCAATTTTTTTTTTTTTTTTATTTTGAGTGTTGTTGGAGCTGCACTCATCCAGGCAAGTGGGGAGTATTCCGCCAAACTCCCGACTTGTGCCTTGCAGATGGAGTACAGGCTTTGGGGAATCAGGTGGTGAGTTAATGGCCACAATATTCCTCGCCTCTGACCTGCTCTTGTAACTACTGTGTTTATGTGTTGAGTCCACTGAAGCCATGGGATCCCACAGTTTTGAACAAACAGCAGTAATCTTTAACGTGTCACGTTGGAATAGTAATGACGTTGTAAAGACTGCATTTTTGTTTCGTGTTTTTGACAGTGGACTGTAAAAGGAGAACAATGGTTTCAAACGAGGATTGTTGAGGGATTGCTGCACTTCTTAGAAAGCAAGCAACCTGACACCCAATTCAGGACTGTTGACAGAAGAAGTGCTGTCTCAAGCAGTAGAGGATGGTTTGCAGAAGACTTGGACCAAAGTACTTACAAGTAGAGATTCAGCGAGGAACAACTGGCTAATTGATAATTGGTCACTTGTCCAAACACTCCTGACAAAGAAACAAAAAAAAAAAAAAAAAAAAAAAACAAACAGAACCGCTGGAAAAGCTCAGCAGGTCTGTCAGCATCCATGGACAGAAACCAGAGCCAATGCCTCAGGTCCATTGACCCTTCCTCAGAACCATTTTTTACCATTGACAGGGGCCCACCAACAATTGTAATTAGTTCAGGAGGCAACTGAAAACATTTGGGAAAAGATGGATGTGTGATAACTACCTGTTTTCTGCACTAAAAGCCACTTTAAGCCTAAAGGAAACCAGTTTACTTTTCCTTAAGCACCTGTTGTAAGCTCTCACTTTTACTAAGTCATAAAAACATTAACTACAAACCAGTCACCGCATGGTGCCTGCAAATATTCAGAAAAGAGACAGACAAAAGCAGCACAACAATCACTTCAGCAAATCCCCATGAACAGAAGTCACAAACTGCCTTCCCAGACTTACCCTCCACCCATATCTTTGTCTCTCGAGTGCACATTTTTGTTCAATAAGCAAGAGTTTAATTGGATTAGAGTTTAAACTTGGAGAATTATATGCTGACAATTCATAATTGGTCACATTACAAGTAAATAGATACGCTTTATGCAAGTATTAATTGTTGTGAAGTACAGAATTTACTGTGTTGTTAACCCTGGACAGTAAGTCAGGTTAACTGGGCATTTCTGCATTTTTAAGCGATCTTTGTAAGATTGTCAAGTTTTGTGACAACTCTGGAAATAGCAGGGCGTGACTTCCAGCACGCCACCATAGTGGTGTGTAACAGCCAACATAAAAGTTTAGCATTTAATTAGAAGTAACTAGAGGTCAACATGTTTAACAGAAACTGATCAGAAACCTCATGGAGCACATCTGTGACTTGATACGATCGTAATGGATACCATAGATTTCACAACAGGTCCCCAGACCTCAGTAACATTGTTGGTCACCAAAACCCTTTTTAAAAACTTTAGGAGGGATTCTAAATTTTTCTTTATTCAAGCCCTGGCTTCAGACCTCCCTCAGAAGCCGATCAGCCGTGAGCCAGTTCAACGATTCATGTTCAGGCAGTTATCTTCTGTTCCCAAGTGTACATACCTAGATTCTGGAAATTGCAATCTGTTCACAGATCCAGCTTTTCATGAACAGTTAGCTTCACCATGACACTAAGGGTTTGGAGTAGATTTGTAGCTCGGGTTGTGGGTGTTGAGGTTGGTTGGTTCGCCTAGCTGTTTCTTGTTTCACAGACATTTCGTTACCATGCTTGGTAACATCCTCAGTGCAGCCTCCGATGAAGCGTCGGTGTGTTTTCCCACCTGGTTTGTAAACTCTGGGGTCCGTTGAGATGGATTGCCTCACTTCCGGTTTTCCTTCATAGTGGAATGTATATGGGGTCGAGTTCAATGTGTTTATTAATAGCATGCTTTGTGGAGTGCCATGCTTCTAGGAATTCTCGTGCCTGTCTCTGCCTAGCCTGTCCCAGGATCTTGGTGTTGTCCCAGTCGAAGTGGTGGTTCTCCTCGTCCATGTGGATTGAGATGAGCGAGTACTGGTCACGACTTCTTGTAGCCAGCTGGTGTTCATGTACTCTTGTTGTTAGTTTCCTTCCTGTTTGTCTGATGTAGTGTTTCTCAGTCTCTGCAGGGGATCTTGTAGATGACATTGGTCCTGTCCACGGCAGGGAGTGGGTCCTTAGTTCAGGTGAGCACTTGTCATAGGGTTGACGTGGGCTTGACATGACAGCGACATGACAGCACTGCCTCTGGGTTTTCACTCCCCTCTTTTCACTTACCTTGTTCATTTGCACCAAGCCTATGCTGCTTGTTGACTTTCCAACCCTCAATTTCCATCACCGAAACAGGAATTAATCACAGGCTTCTGAACCCTTGGTTTCCAGGGCTTTGTCAAAGCCCAACTCTAACACTTAGCTGTACCTAATGGCTGCTCAGACTTCATATTCCTAACTGCATGCAGCAATCCAACTGTTGTTGGGACTTCTCCCCAAGCCCTAATGAAGAACCCTGTAGTCTTACTTCTCAGCAGCACTGTAGTGTCTTTACTTTCAGGCCCGAAGATCCAGGTTCAAGTCCACCTGCTCCAGAGATGGGTCATAGCATGTCTGCAGTGGTTGATCAATCTAACTGTCATTGTAACTTGTCAAATTCGTGATAATTAATTTCTCGTGCTTATTTAGAAGCTACTGGTCCCTTCCAAAACACTAAACAAAATTACAAACAGAATATATTCTGCTGCAATTGATGAACCCTAACTGAATTTATTAGGCTCACATCATTGTGCTTCATCCAAATTGCATGTGTTATTTTCATAATTCACCAAGCCATTTACCTTCAAAATCAACGTCACCAACAAGTTTTGGCTTCCCAGTGATTGGGTCCTGAATACGATTGATACCAACATCAATGACTGCTGCTCCTTCTTTAATCATATCAGCTGTGATTAGCTTTGGAATACCTGCAATACACAAGTCATGCCAAGTAAGTCACAATTCATTACGTTTGCAATCTTGTTTTTCCGAGACAACAAACGAAATTGCTTTGCAGCGTTCGCACTTCTTTCAATTTGTTTTTTCGAGGACTGTCCCTTTAATGAGCATTTCATCTTTGGTGTTTAGAAAGTTTGGAGGGAACTGTGATAACGCTATTAGTCATTTAGGACTGACATGAAAAGAAGTTTGTTCATATGGAGGGTTGTGAATCTTTGTATGTCTCTATCCAAGGAGGATTGTGGATTCCAATATAATTATAACTAAGGTTCATATATCACTGGACATTTAGGCAACAAAATACAGAGGTAGGTTAGGAAACTGAATATGATGTGAAAGTTGAATCACGTTCTATTTAAGTGGTACAACAGACAGCAGTGGCTGTACAGCCCATTGCTGCTCCCGTTTTTTCGGATACAATCTCTGCCAAGTCAGGAATCCTGAACTCGAGCTGTTGCAGTGTTGTTTTTCAAACATATGTTAAAGTAAATACTTCAACTTGTTACGACTGGGAATTCATACCTAAATTAAGAGATTGCAAGAATTAAAAGCAAACTGTTGGTTTATCAGTCTCAAACAAACACAGTCAAATAATGTTGCACAACTGAAATTGCTCCCATTGCTGCAAGACAAAGAACCACCAGTTGCAGATAAAAAAAGAACCCAAAAGGATATAATTGATCAATTTAGGGGAAATCTAAACATTAAATGCAGAAGTGACATGGTCAACTAGAGAACAGGAAAAACACATATTACAAGTTAGGCATCTCCAGAAATAATGACAAAGAACATGAATGGTTTCTCACCGCCCAAGCACCAGAATACATTTGTTTTGTGACATTATTGCAGACATGATGAGATTTGCCTCAATGCTGTGCAACCACTGGGAAAGAAACAAGCGTTCTGACAAACTTCAAGTATCACAGATAAACAGAAATGAAGCATATTTTCCCTGCTCTGTTTGTTCCCTTATCTGCACAGATGAAGCAGAAAAGTAGACTAAATTGCAAACTTATTTAGTACTGGAAAAAAAAAGTTCTTGGTGCAAACGCTTATTCCATGAAATGTATTGTCAGTGCCATTTCAGTACATTTCATCACATTTTACTTAGACCCGTTAAGAACATTTGGCATTTATCTTGCTTGATTTTTTGGGGGAGGGAAAGTGCTGACAGAAGTTCAGATTTGGGAATCAGTTCAGAAGAAAAGGACAACACTGAAAAGTAGAGAGATGACAATGGTTTCATGAACAGTTGGCAGATCAAACATTCATTGAACATAGTTAAACATTCATACCTGAAAATTCATTGCCTTAATCACATCAGTCAGGGTGATGGAAAAATCCAGATACCCTTTAGGGAGTGCTCCTGAACCAAAACAAAAAAATACATACCTTGCAGATAACAAAGCTGAGTCTTTGCACGCCAGTGGGCATGCGTGTCTGCCTGCATCTGTGCGCCCATCAGGGGGAAGGCTGGGGGGTGTTCTACTTGTTGCCAATTTGTTGAAACCTTAAGAAACTCTTCCTAAGTTTGCTTTTCAAACCACAGTCTCAAACATGACTGAAGCATAGAAGCTCACCTGCTGCAGCCACAATAATATCAGCGAGCTTGGTATGTTCCCTCAGCTGGTCTTTCGGTGTGTATCGATGAGAAATAGTCACTGTAGCATCCCCTGCAAGATGATAACTGCTTTATTCAAAGTAGTGATCAAAGCAACAAATCCCCTTTCTGCACAAAATGTTAGAATGAGAAGAACTCAAAAGCAGAATGAAAAAGGCACAATTACTTCCAGTGAGCCACCCAGTAAAATCTAGCTTCAAAAAAAAAATCTATGATTAACCTATTCAAACAAATGGTGCACCATGAGATCAAAGGCTGTGATGATCAATACCACAAGTTCTTTCCTAACTTCTGAAGGGGTAGGAGATAATACCTTAATACTCTGTTCTATATGTGACAAAAACCAGATTATTTAGTGGAAGGACCAATAACAAGGAGGCAAGGCGGGAGGTTTACAGGAAGATCTTTTCACTCAAAAGGATATTGGGAGTCTGAAATGCACTGCATGGGAGGCTAGTGAGGCAGGACACCTCACCCTTTAAAAAGTACTTCGATAAATACTTGAAGCTCCCTAAGTACCGAAGCTATGGGCCTGATGTGGAAAAGCAGGACTAATGTAGGTTATTTAAGTTTGTACTGCCAACAATACAAAAGGGCTGAAAGGCCTTTCCTGTTCTGCACGATTTTATGATTTGCTGCCTGAGCATGTCAGAGTTTTATTGTTACAACTTAGCAGCTACAAAAAGGTCAAATGAATTGCTAATTGCATCCATGGATAACTAACTATCTTCCATGGAGTTTCGATGATGGGTTACTGGACTCAAAAATGTTAAGGCAATAGTCATCCTGGCTAGACATATCCCAAACAACTTATCCAACGAACAAAGGAGGGCGAAGACTTAAAGGCACTGGGTATCGCTACACAAAGAAAGCTACAGTAGCAAGCCATCCAAATGATTGACTCTGTTCACTGTGTCTCCCTGATTGGCCAGAACTATTCAAAAGTTCCTGAAAATCATCCAAAAAGGTTAAAAACAGGGTTCAGCTGCAGACCTCTCTCTCTCGCAATTTTCTGAGGCCTTGTGAGAAGACCAGTACAGCAAGAGGCAGAGACCAGCTGACCATCCAACGTGAGAGCACGCAGAGGTTCGCCAACTCAGAGACAGAGCCAGCGAGGGAGCGACTGTGTAAATCTACGAGAGACTCGGGAAGTATTGTAAGCTTAAGGGGCCAAACTGAATTAGAGATACAATGTTTAATAATAAAAGTCGTTCTAACTTTATTAGGACCAAAGTCAGGACTGTTTTGCATTGGTACCAGTTTGTGTTCTTATTGATTCGATCGCTTCAGTATCATGGGACACTTGGGCAAATTCATTCAAAACATTCTGGTTGGAGCTGTCTAAATTGTTTTAAAGGAGAGGCTAGACAACAGTGTTGACAAGAATCAAACAATTCCTATCATATTGGCATGTTGTTGCTTTGTATTTATAAAGAATTTTCTTCCAAAAAAAAATAAAAGCATGAAGAGATTCCACTAAATTCCAATGGACACATAGCTTTAGACAGTAAGGAAAGGTCCGTACACTACTTTCAGGGAAAATTCATGACAATATGCAGAAATCAACAGACATTGTAACTTGGATTGAATGAGATGCATTGTAAATGGCCCAAGGATAAAAAGTAGGGAAGTCTAGTAAACACTGGGATCGTGCCAATACCTAGGAGATGTCCATTAGGTTGTCCATCACTGATCTGTCACATGAATAACCTGATTGGATGTGTATCTGAACAATTAGTAATGCAATTCATTTGTGGAAAGGGCAGGCTGAAAACAAATGTAGAAGAGTTTATGTCTTCCCTTTGTTCAATGAAGCAACTTCTGGAACCAACCCCAA